TTTTTTTTTTTTTTTTTTTTTTTTTTTTTTTTTGAAATAATTCTTCCACATTTAGAAGGTTACAAAAAACTTTAGGGTCGAGGCATATACTTCAACAATGCAAGGACATTTTTAATCTGGGTGAACGAGGAGGACCATTTGAGAATTATCTCGATGGAAGAAGGTAGCAATGTCGGACGCGTGCTTGATCGACTGATACGCGGAGTGAAAGTAGGTTTTAATAAGGATTTGATATTTTTTGGTTTCCCAATAGTAAGGCTGGGTTGGCTTCTGTCTTCTCTACCAACTTTCTTGGAGTAAATCTTTTCCAAACATACTGTTTTACTTTACAAAAGGGTATTAGTGCTTTTGTAGTTTTCCAGAGACTATAAAGTTGCTCTGGTTACTTTTATCTCTTCTCTTCCTGCGCTGTAAGTGTTACGTTGTTGTATTTCTAATTAAACTTCTTTTTTGAGCCGTTTTAGTTCTTCGATATTTTTTCAGGCTATTGGAGAACACTTGAAATTTACTCGAGATGAAAGATTAGGTTGGCTCACATTTTGTCCTACAAATTTGGGGTCTACTATTCGTGCTTCTGTACATATTTACTTGCCAAAAGTGTCAGCTCGAAAGGACTTTAAGGTTGATTTGAAAATATTTGGTTTTTATGTTTACTGAAATCTCTTTTTGAAGGGGTTATCTAGCAAACACAACCACTTTGTTTTTATAATTTTGAATTCTGCTTTCGCTTTAGTAAAGTCCGGTGAATTTACCGATGCAAAATCTCTATGAAGACTTATTTTCAGTTGATTGTCTTTCAGCACAGAAGCAACCGTTAAAAGTTCTTAGAAGAAATCATATTTATCAAAGTAAAAGTAAATGGGGGAATAAACCATAGTAGTGTTTTCTTTCAGGTTATTTGAGTTTACTTGATGATATTGTTAATTTTTCACTCTCCTGTTTTTACATTTATTCGAAATAGTCTCCGAAGCTAAGTTTTCCGTGTTTAGGAAATCTGTGAAAAATTAAACCTTCAAGTTCGTGGAATCCATGGGGAGCATTCAGAAAGTAAAGGAAGCGTTTATGATATCTCTAACAAAGTGTGCCTTTCTTCAACTTTTTTTTCTTTTTATGATTTGGTTGACTGCCGAACAATCTAATTATCCGGATTTTTTCCTTATCAATAGTCTTTATGGTCGTTTACTTTTGGTATCTACCGTAGGATACTTTTAGAGGCGGTTGGGAATTTCGGAATACGAGGCCGTGAAACAGATGTATGATGGAGTCAAAGAACTTATTCGGTTAGAGAAAGAGATGAAATAAAAAAGCTTGTGAAGAAATATTTTTGCGGAGGTGCCAGGAAATCTGAACCGTCATCCTCTTAGAAGCACGCGTTTATCTTGATATAACTTTGCACTTTTGGATTTATCTCGAGCTTTAGGAAAATTTTAAGATTCCAGGTAGTTAGGACGGGTATTGCGATCATTTACTTCCTGAACTTTGAAATATACATTGCTCTTATGTCATTTTAACTCGTGCTTTTTTGGAAACTGTAAAAGCTCAACTTGGACAGTTTTAGGGTGATAGTTTTATAGGATAGGTCATTATGAAATTTAAAATTTCGTGAACGTCTACAGAATAAAAGGTAGCAGGCATTGTTTTGTCTCTAGTGTTTACTGTATCTCATAGGGCTTACGTTTCGATTTTCACTTTTATTTGATGTTTCCTAAATTTGACAGCAAAAGCGGTAATAGTAATATTAGCAGATTCTTCGACATATATTTTTTTTCATTTTGAAAGTTTGCCCAATACTGCACGCACATCGAGGATTCATTTTTAATAAGAAAGGAAAAGTATGTGAATTAACCGTATCAATCCTAAAAGTACAAACTTGTCTTCGAAAGTATTGGGTTTTATAGCTTTTTCTGCCAGTCCACTTTTCTGTGGAAAGAAGATCTACTGTAAGATGATGATGTTTGAGAGTAAAAACCTTTATACTGGCATTTGGCATCTGTACATGGAAAGAGCGAGGTGATTTTGCTGTGGGAAATATACTGTGAAGGAGAGCTAGCTTTGAATTTTTTCTTTTCAGGTTGATACCACTGTTACCATTAGAGTCATATAAAAATTCTCTGTAGAATGTTTATGTTTATTACATTCAATGAGGCTGTTTATCCTTGGGAGGTAGTAGCATTCGCGAATGCTGTGATACTTCAGGGTTATTAAATTGGTGATTTGAAGTTGAGATAAGGTTATGGTGAGGTGCAGTTGTGCTGTAGATTTTGATGAGCGTGTAATGTGTTTCTCAGTGGTTATTTGCGTTTTGTGGAAGCAGATTTTTAGTACTGTTTAGAGTTACAGTTATTGATCACGGTGTTAAACAGATTTGAACGTTCCAGATGCAGGGTTAGGTGAACACTGTCACCTTTTCTGCCTCTAACTACACGTGTTAGAAAGTGTGCCTTAAACCAAATTTGACACGAAGTGGTAGTGCTGATAGTTATTTCGGTAATTACAGCAGTATCACGATTTCATATGAAGTTGTTCTCTAGGTGTTAGTGGATATGCGGTATAGATCATTCGATACAAGCAAATTGTAAATGTTACGTCAAAGGTCTGGAATCACTGGTAATGTTTATTCGGTTAGTTAGAGGTTCTGCACACGAGGTTAAACAACAATGTGGAATGGAGCAAAAAACTTTGACAGCTTGCTTGGCATACCATATGAGTTTGTATAAGACTCAGGAAATTTGTCATTTTTTTTAAGTCTCATATCTGCAACTGCTCACGTGCAAGAGGTATATTAGTTATTTTTTTGCAATTTTTTTATGGTTGTTACCGAGTCTTTCGTTTAGTAGTATATTGCTCTAACAACTTTCTTAAGTGCTTGTTATCCAAGCATTGTTTTAAAAACTGAAACCATTGTAAAGATCTGTGTTACCAGTTGTGGGGGTTTGAGACTGTAGCAGATCCGCTTATTAAAGTGAAATATGTTGCTTTTTCAGTTCGTAAAGTGAATAATTGTTGAAACTTCAATAATATATAAAGTTTAAGAATTGCATTTTTTACGATGGAGTATAAGTCTTTAAAACAGAAAGAGCGACTTTGAATAGCAGGTGGGATAGTTACTTTAGATTTTACAGCATGACCTGGGCATGGATCTTTTGGGGTTTGTAATCCCATGTTTCAAGAAATTTTCAACGGTGTATTTGCTATTTCTGTCGTAGCATACTTCCTGTTATGTGGCAGAGCTGTCAGAACAATTTTAGTTATCAATTTATAAATCTTTTTTTACAATTACAATGCTTTGTCAGTTAGAAGATTCTTACCGATATGTATCGGTAATTTTTATTTTAGTGATGCAGAAAGTTTTTAACAGAGATTTTTAATTTTAGACACAATTATAGAGGAAATTATCGTATTACAGATGCTCAAGTATCATTTTTAGTTTGCTAGTTTGTAATCTGCTGTGAATTTGTATAGTCAATTATGGGAATTGCTCCCTTCTGCAGTGCTCAAAAATGAATTGCTGAACTCTTCGTTAAACAAATAACAAAGTTGAGAAATCTGGACTGCAAACTGCTCAAATAGTGATATATGTGAGGTGCGTACAGTTGCTTTTGTCATTCAAATGTCTTCATTATGGCGCAAGCTTGTGAATTGATGTGTAATATATAAATCGATTGTAAACTGTATGATGTAGCACCGGAATGCGATCATAGTTAATCGATTCAGGAAGTTGAGTCAAGACTATTACTTTTTTTTATCATTACTGTTATTGTCATTGTAGTAAGTGCTTTAGTATTTATTCTTTTAGTTTTTTTATTATCTTTATAATTATTACTCTTATTCTTCTTGCTTTTCTTTTATAAATTTAAAAAATGCGCCTGATTTGGTGATGCGATACAAACAATGCAGATAAATAGGCAGTGTGAATAATAAAATATTCTATCTTATCGGCTTAAATCCTCAAAGTACGTTATGATTTTGAGCACCTTTATTGCTTGCGATTATGTTTTAGCTATCATAATACTTATATTATTTTTGGTTTGTAGTTGATTTAACAAGTTTTCTGCTGTTAAATTTTAGTTTGAGGATCATTCTTTTTGGTCATTACGGTTCTTATTGTCGTTTCCTGCTTTCAAGTTCATTTTTTTTTCGAAGTATATCAGGCAAAAAGATGCAGGATTTTTTTCTAAGCAGGTCTATAGAAAAATTCAAGAATATTGTCACTTTCACGAAAGAGGCACTGACTTTTTTCAACAAAATTCTTTGAAACACAAGTTTGCGTTAGTTAACGAGCACCGTGATGATGGTGTTTCGCAGATCGTATGATAAGCGCACGTTCATTTCTGCCTTGCTAATGCTTTTCATTAAGAGCAAGAAGCTTGTTACCTCATAGGATTCTTGAGTCAGGAGTGAAGAAAAGAGGAGGAACAACGGCAAAGAAAAACTGGGATTAAGGTAAACACAGTGTTTAAAACAGACGGAGCTGTTGAAGAAATGACTGCCGAGTAATAACTTGTTTAACATCAGTTTTTTTTCAAAACATTTAGCTTTATTTTTTAGTGTTTATAGGTGCATTTCTCAGCAGAATGGGCTCAGTTTTGCCTTCTGCTTGTTTTGTTTGCTTACATTTCTTACTCGTAATATTCACTCAGACAATCTAAGTTGCGGTACTCATTGTCTCAAAATCATCCAAATTTCTTTTAGCATCTCCTTTTTCGTTATAGAAGAATTGCTTTTGAAGTTTCTTTTTTGTTTAATTAGATACAGAACGAGCAGATTTTTCTTTCGTTTGTTTTTTTTTACGGTTGATAAACTGATTTTAGAAGTCTGCCAAAAATAATTTTTTTACATTGGTTTTAAATGTAACCTTTACTTTTGTTCAGAATAAAATGAAAAAATTACTAACGAGAGAAGAAATCAACAACCGATTGGAGGAAGAAGAAGTAAAAATAGAGGTCTCAAGCAGTTTCAAATCTGTAAAAAAAATTTTGACAAAACAGGTAGAAATTCTCAAAAATTGAAGTGTTTTTGCGAGAGAGAAATAATTCAAAAAAAAAAAAAGAAGGAACGGTTGTTGGTCGTTTTGGCTTGGAAGCTGATGATTAGCTAAACGTTGCTAATTTGATCGGTAGCTTTTTCTTCTGACTGCTGTTATTGCCGTTCATTTTTTTGAATCTTACAGTTTCGTTAAGTTTCTGTTGCTCTCTTTGCCATCATCGCTTAATTGCGGTTGCTGACGAATCCATAACGCTGACACTATGTATCAATGATTACTATTTGCGCATACACGAAAGACCTTTTTCCTGTTCTCTGACAAAGAAAACAAATTTTTTTTGGGACCGTTGTTTATAAAGTTAGTTTATGGCAATAAAAAGAGAGTGATCAAAAATAAGGATGTTTAGAATAATTGCTGTTTGCTTTTGCTAAAATAAAGGTTTTGCTTTTTGTTTCTTTTGTTTTTTTTTTCTCGCGCTGCTTTTCGTAATTTCAAGTTAAATTTTCTCAGAAATTTGACAGCGAAATAATAGCATTTTAGAAGGCATTTAGTATGACCAGGTGTTATGGTCTAAATGCGACTGTATTATGTTTCAGTTACAAACATTGACAGTTTTGCATTATTCCACTCAACAGCAAGTTAAATTTTGTCTTACCGTGCTTGCCTAATTCACCGCTATTTTAGATAGCCGACAGTGGAAGGGCGTTTTCTCAAGTTTCAGCAGATGAGGATTAGATATTTAATGTTGAGGAGTGGTTTTTTTTTGACTAAATCAGAAGTTTTTCTTGGATTCAAAAGAATAAGGCACGTTTTTGGTTTTACAACCTATGCATCGTTCGTTGTTAGTGCAAGTTTCTGGAGCAGTAAAATCAATTGATGGAGGTGATTCCGTTAACATGGTTAGGTTAAGGCTGACTGATCCCGCAGGAATTGTGAGTGGAAGTTTCGCACTGAACAATGGTACTATTACTGTTGATTCAGGAAAGATAACCTCATGTTCTATTTTCTTTCAACTTAATAATGCTTCTGCGAATTTGTTTATTTGTCTTCTTTTTTTTTTTCTTTTTTATTTTTATTTTTATTTTTTTTTTTTATCAGTCAGATAAAAGTGATACCGCATTTTCTCAGTATCTATTTTGCTTTATACACATAAAAATTTTATCTTTTTTTTTCTTTTTTTTTTTTTTTTACTTAATGAATGAAGAATTGTGATAAAGTGAAGAAATTTTTAATAAAGAAACGTTCTGAAAGCAGAAAGAAAAACGAGAAGGTATGGTATGTTAGCTAAAGGAAGAACAGACTGAGAGGAAGAAAGGGG